TATAAAAAATATAAACAGTAAGAAGATGATAATAATAATAATAATAATAGTAGTAGTAATAGTGATGGTACAAATAGTGATAGTACATAGTAAAGCATGTTAATGGCAAGTTCAACTTTCAAAATCCATATATGGTACCTGTTTTGCTGCTGTGGGAGATTTTCAACCAAAACCACCTCAATATTTCCGTTGCAAGGCACTCCATTCCTCGAAAAATTTCACCAAGCCAAGGAAAATGGGGAGAATCTCGACATAAGCCTTCACATTCTCCATAACAAGGTCATCGCAATCATCAATGCGAATTGAATTATAAATGTGAAGTTTCATGTCATCAAGAGATAATCGTCCCAAAATTCAATGTCCCACCCCGTTTATTTCCAAATGCATCGGGAACATGACATGATCAACCTTGGACCAAGAAACACCACATATAGTCTTATATCCCAGTATGTAGTCAAGGATCATATCGTCGACATTGCATACAGACTTGTTACAAGACTGAGACACAAACAATTCGTACAACGACTTAATGTGTTGGTCAAACAACACATCAATCGTTGTATACCTGACTGGGGCAGATTTAGCATAAAATCCAATCTTCCTCAGGTAGTAGAAAAGGACATCAATGTGCTGAAAAAAATATATAAAGCAAATGACACGCGTAAGGACCAAATAGGGATAAACTCAAATAAAATATCTATATTATACAATAACAACAAACAAACGTGCTCAATTGTATTAGAAAAATATATATTTATATATAACAAGAAAAAAATAAATAAGTGTTGTACAAAATACTACTTATGCTGCTGTCGAGAAAGCATCCAATCTCGTGTATGTGGTAAAACCAGTTCTTGTCCGTCGCCGAGAAAACGTTAAATTCAAATGGAGTTGGCAAAGTTTTGCTCCTGACCTTGTAGTAATTATAACTGCAAAACGAAATGAAAATTTATAAGTTATATGTATGATATATGTACGGTATATGACATTAATATTTATCGTTATATTTATAAGTTTGATGTATATTTAACTCATTATATATCTAGTAAGAAATCAGTATTACCTGTTTCCGACTTTGCGAGGAGCCGACTTGAGCAAACCCTTTCCAATCCAGTATCTGAATCCTTTCATGTCCACTTCTCCAGAAACATTTATGTGAAAACCGACGTCGAATGGGCAAGACTTCTGAAGTCTTATTCGTTTGTTGGTGGAAATTTCGCTCTCCAAATTTCTCTTAAGCTTCTTGGTATGCCTCACTTCGTCTTCCTCTGGACTGTATACAACTAAAGAATGACAGTCTTTTGCCTTGATTAGTTGTGGGTTCTCTTCTTTTACCGCCTCATTCTTCTCGACAGTCTGAAATATAGTGATAAAAATTGTATAAAAAACATTAAATTATTTTTAAACAAAAACTGATTGTAGACATTACAAATAATACAAATTAAAGTGATTAAGCTTACATTATTGACCAGTTCTTGAATATCTTTCTTTGGTGGTGGCGTCGGTGGTAGAACAGCAGTTATGGCATCAAGCGACGGCTGAGATCCATTCACTGCATAACCAAATGTGGGGTGTGGCTGGTAACTGAAACCTCTCTGCATATATGTATATCATATAACCAAGAAATTGAATTGAATATATATAAATCCCACATTTATAATACTCTACATATATATATATACATATATATATATATAACTAGCATATACTTGGATACAATATATGTATTTACCGGTTCTTTGACATGGGTTACTTCATTTAATTTTTCTTGGACAGTCTTGTCAATCTCCTCGATGAATTGGGTGTTGATCAGGGGGAATGTGTCATCGTCGTCGATAGGGCTGCTGTGTAAATGGATATCAGGGTTGGGTAGATGGATATCAGGGTTGGGTGGCTGGATATCAGGGTTGGGCAGATTTTGAACTGGTACAAACTAAAAAAAAAAATGTGAGATATTGAATTACATAGGACACGACAAATGGGTATATATTGTGGAATATATGCTTACTTTGTCAGCTGCACTCTTCATGAGTGCTTCTTCTTTGGTTCTCAATGCTCGTGCGGGAGATTTGACAGGGATCTGCATTTAAATAACATATTTATGACATTCATAATCAAAGAAAAAAAAACAGATATTATACATATGAATGTTATAGTAAAGAGGAAAAACAAACTGATGAAAACCTCGTTTGTTGTTTGAACATTCACATTTGAAGGCTTCTGAAAATGCTACAGACATATAAAAAAATAAAACATTACAAAAGTTTTATATGCTAAGTTTAATATAATTGTTAATATAATTGTTCATAATCAAATATATAATGAAAGATAAAAAACCGTCTCTTTTCCAGTTGATGTGTGGGCACTATCATCTGGCATTTCACTTCCAACAAGATCTTCAGTCGTCTTCCCTTTGTCGACATGTTGGTCTTCACTTGAAACACCCTAAGTTGTAATGTTAATGTGATGAGATGACGATATATATTGGAATGATAGTATAAAGGAACATCTAATCAGTTTAAATATATACTGAAAAATAGAGGAACATCTCTGATGTTTGTATATATAGTACATATGACCACATATTATATGAGAACCTAATATAAAAATACTTAAAATATACCAGAATATACTGGAAAACAGAAACAGTGGATTTAGAAAATATACCAGCATATATTTTTGATATACCAAACAATTAAATCAACAACTATCTGTCCATCAGAAAAAATCAATGTTTTCCCCACATATATTTGTTCAAGTATAGTACATCCATCTGTTCAAATATTGTACATCAGAATATAACTTAGATATTCATACATCCATTTGGTCAAATCAGGAATTCAAATGTTTCCCCCCACATGGAATCATAAATACTTATAGAAGCAATATATGTTGTATATATGACCACATATATGACCAAATATAATCTGAACATATACTATAAGAAGCAATAAAAATTGGCATATTTGACCGCAGTCAATCATAAATAAATATAGAACATTTGTTCTGTTTATATAGGTGGTATATATGAACACATATAATCTGAACATATACTATATACACAGTTTATGCCAAATCATTGAAGCAATAAAAATTGGTGTATATGACCATATATATTGTATATATGTAACACATATGTATTA